TCGATTGAATGATAGTTGGAGGGTTACGTAATGTAGATGGAAATTTTCAAGTGTAAATTTTATACCATATATAATATATTATTAAACCTAACCAGGAACAGTTGTGAATTTCCATCTACAAAACTCTTCGAATTCAAACATATATAGAAATTATAGCAAATTACTAATTTAATACACAGAGTGTCCCCAAAAAAGTCCCCCTATAAATCACTCTTTTGTTGTTAGGGACTGGTCGTAAAGTAAAAGAGAGGGTTGGCTGGGAAAAATATGGGGGTGGGTCACTATTTTTGAGCACGGTTGAAAGGATGGGTCATCAAAAGTTAAGTGCAATCAAAAGGGTGGGTCATGTAAAAACATGCAGAATTTTTTTCAAGGGCATGTGTATTAAAATTCATATCCAGTTACTAGAAAAATTTCAGTTACTAGAAAATCAAACCTCCCTTCTAAATTCCATGTTTTGCTTATATTTTAGAGAAAAGGGACTTTGACTGGGGGGGCAAAATGGTTGAGTGGGGGGGGGGGCACCATGGGGGCTGGGACGGCTTTGCCCCCCCCCCCAGTTACTGTATATAGTTAAAAATGCCCTGGGAGGACATGTCCCCCCAGCCCTCTTACTGGTCCCTCCAGTCTGCAATTTTGCCCCTCCCCCCCGTGAGGTCCCTAAGAACTACCTGCAGTAGGTGGTCAACCAGCAATTATGTATCAAAGTGAGAGAACGATGTTAAGTTGTTAACATTTCTGAATTTGACCATCATATGCAGGCTGTAACTAGCTATGAGTCCACAGAACTAAACATCGCCAGAAACCTAAACCATGAGTGAAATAATATGCTTGTGGAACAAGGCATGGAATGGCATTTTAGGACGAAATTCTAGTTTCGTTTTTCCAAGCAAAGATACTCCAAAGAGACCACCCGATCTTGCTCTTTAGTGATACTGAGAAGACAAATGCGTTGATTTCAAGTACCCCAATACATGTAATACAGTACTGTAGAATTTGAAGTGTGGTGAATGATAATACTATACCACACACATTTTAATTACTGCATCATCACACCATGTTGCCTTATTGGGGACTGGATTACATTTGGGAGACTGTGAAATTGCAGTAATTGTGTCACTGTTTATAAGGTTAATTTCTTGTTGGAAAACTCCTCTGAATGTGGGAAATAGCTTATCTGAGCTTCAAGAAATCCAACATTTTCTGTGGGGTATGCCCCCAGAACCCTCTAGAAGCTCGCACCTTGGGTGGTCGACTCGGTTGTCTCAGAATCCTAGTTATGGTTTGATCTGCTGCCCTATGATGTATACTTATTAGTTAAACCATGCAGGGCCTATTTTAGTGTGCAGTATTGCACACTTTGTGCAGTATTGAATAAAAAGTGTGCAGTATTGAATGCGAAAGTGTGCAGTATTGAAATTTGAAGTTTGAAATAAATTTCAACTTTGTATTAGATGTGCTGAAGGAACGAAGTAGGTGAAATATAAAGTCTAGAATTCCAAAATGCCTTTGCAACAAAATGAGCAAAGGCACAAACAAATATTGGCCAAATATATGCCAGTAATAATTCCAATATTCAATATTTTCATGTCCGGAAAAGTCGGTGTACTTCTTTCCTCCACAAGAGGGAAGAGCCTGGGAACGAGGTTGTCATTTGTGTCGCATCAGCGAATTACTACAATAGGTTATGCCTGATTTGAATTTGAAAGGGTTTACTTTTTGGGGGACACCCTGGATATTGTCATTATGTTCTATATAAAATTCAAAGATGACGTCACTTGGTAACGTCATTGATGACACCTGCTCTAAAGTGTGCAGTATTGAAATTTCCTTAGAATAGGCCCTGAAACCATGCATATATATGTATGCTGGTAGATGCAGTGATACAGACTTGCCAACTGGGACTTCTCCATAGCCCCCCGCTAAATACGTCCCCTCCAGTTACACATCGTTAAAAGAGGCCCTGAATTGTATAGCTAATGAGTATTGTAACACAGAATTATTTGGTAACAGAAAAATAGAACACTGGTATCTTTTGCGTTTCTGAAAGGGTGGGTCATAATTTTTCAGCATCAATTTAAGGGTGGGCCACAAATTTTCATGCAGCTATTAAGGGGTGGGCTACCAAAAGTGCAGACACCAAATATATGATTTTCTCAGCCCACCTCCCGCTTTTACTTTATGACCGGTCCCTTATAAACTTGCTTTATGTTATACCTCCGGGATTTTAAAATTATAGCTTCTAAAGTGAATAGCAACACAAAACTTCAAATTATAAATTCATCTTACCGTCAGTTCGAGTATAAAGAATGGTTCAATAGACTACACAGCAACAAGTATTTGCCGTAACAACTTTAATATATTAACGCAAATTGTAAGTGTTAATTACTTGGAAGAAGGGAAGTTGTAAGTACTTCCGACGTTCATGTACAATTAAATTAAGGGACCATTCATTATTTATGACTGGGGGTGGGCTGGAAAAAAAAGGGGTTGGGTCATGAAGTATTTTTGACCGAAAAAGGGGGGGGGGGGCACATAAAAATATTGGTTCAGAAGCGCGGTCCAGTTATTTATTATAGTGGTATTATTAATAGTGGACATATAACGATTATTGCTACCACAGGCACAGGGAGCGAGCAATTAAGGCAGCAAATAAAATTCATGTATATAGCTAGCAAATTTCTCAATTTTAATCAACAGATAGACCCAAAATGCAATGCACAAATACCCAAAATGCAATGCGCACAGCTTATATGAAAAATAATCCAACATCTACCTCATAACTTTTGCCATACAAAACTTGCCATAAATTTTTTGTCATATTTCAATTATGCACATGTTAATTAATAAAAAAGAAAATTAACGAGTAACCGATATAGCAACATTACGTCCAGGAAAGGTTTGGCATATACTATATACACTAGTTTAAACTAGGTATTTTATACATGGTTTAATTTAGTAAGGAGTTTGTCGGTTTACCGATTCAAATCCGAGCCCAAGTCAAATGTCCGAGCCACTAGCTGTTTAGCGATCTTTGTAGTTAATTGACGTAGTACCCTAATGCAGGGCCGTTGCAACCGGGAGCGCTGGGGGGGGGGGGGGGGCTGCAGCCCCCCCCCCTCCCCCCCTCCCCAATAATTTGCTAATAATTATTCTTTTTCCAAAATCATGCAGATCTTTATCATTTAAATAATATACCTTTAAAATACTGACAATTGATTAATTCTAAGAGGCTACATTATCCATGACAAACTGCAAAGAATTAAGATATGTCTCATACTTTCCTGTAACCTGAAGTTCAGGCCCTAATTTGAAATAGGGCCTGACACAAAACCTGTCTAGACCGCGGGACGCCCACATGTTATTTTTAGACACAACATGCAATATGATTGACAAGTGTTGTAGATTTCGTTACACACAAAATTTATATTCTCATGAACATATCCGCAGAGTGTGCATTTTGCTTTATAATTAAACTTAAAAATTCAAGGTACTTTTATATAATTAAGAGTCAGTTTCTCTATTTAACCGAACAGCAAACAAAGATTTAATTAGTCAGTTCTGTGCACGGCTTGACTGCCAAGCTTTCTCAAGGTCTCAACTTGCTGGACGCGGATATACTCTAACGGGCTAACAACAGCAACAATGAAATTCTCAATCGTACCACGAAGAAGGCGATGTAGCTCAGAAAACAACGCCGGTAGGACCTGATATTAAAAATAAGACTTTTGCTGGCGAAGCCAGTTGGCAGAACATCTAAGTTGGCTGTCAACAACAAGCTTTCAAATACATGACTAGTTTGTCTGTTCTTTCAGCGTCGTGTGTCCAAAACTCGTCCAAGATTTTGATAAAGCCCTTTCAAAATACTGTTTGTTTGATTTATTTTCTGCCATAAAGCATAAAAAAAAGAAATTCGAAGAAATCGATAATGGAATTTGTTACGTGCGTTTGACCTTTATATTATTAATTGTCGCCTTGACCGAGCTATTTTTAAAACTGTTGTTTATGTAAACTTGCAACCAATCAAAATCCTTCATGATGCTGATCAACCAATCAGATTTCCCGTCCACCAGGTGGACGGGAATCTCACAGTTTAGATAGGTTTTGTGTCAGGCCCTATTCTGTGATTAGGGCCTGAACTTCAGGTTAACTTTCCTGCAACTTATTCAATATATAGTTAAATATGCCTTTGCCCATTTAGTGCTACTAAATTGTAAATTTTGACATACTAAAATGTTGTTTTCTGACCATCAGAATTCTGTCAAATCTTCCCCAAAGTCGAGGAAATGGCATTTCAGAGACTCTAAATTTTAAAATTTCCTCAGGCCTTTGGCCCTCACTTTCAGCTCCCCAATCAAAAAGACCTTCCTACAGCACTGTAACCCTAACCCTACTCCTAACCATATACTCCTAACCCAATTTTGCTCGTCAACGGGGAAGCTCTGCTAAGCATGTCCCAATTCTGGTCGTCAACTTTTGAGCAACTTTTTGCGTTTGGAGCAATTTTTCGGCTGAAGCAACTTCAAGCAACTTTTTCTTTTTTGAGCAACTTTTTACTACACTTTTAGTATGTAGCAAAAAATGGTATGACTTTAGCCTCTTTGATGCTCTGCAGCTTAATGGATTAACCAAAAAATCTGACAATGTCACTTGTTAATTAACCCATTGTGTCCCAGTGCAACCTACTTATTTTTTTACTTGTTTAACGCCAGATGGTTTTACTCGTCAACAGGAAACTCTGCAGCTTAAAATAGGTTAAATAGGCATGCATATTAATTGTTGAAAGCACAGTCAAGTAAATGAAAGATCTGATTCCTATTACAATAAGTTTAAGGAGCTCATTTCTATTCAGTAATGTACATTTATTATATTGTCGGTGGTGGTGGGGGGGAGATTCCTATTTTTTAGAATTCATGTGAAGGGGGTCATGGAATTTTTGTGATGCAGGGGGTGGGGCAGGACATTTTGTTTAGTTGTTAAATGAATTTTGCCAGCCCACCCCCAGTCATAAATAATGAATGGTCCCTAAATTCCCCATGGTACGCACAAGAGTGATTTCTAAAGGGGGACACCCTCTATAACTACTGTATCATTGCAACATCAGGCTAGTTTAATAAATCCATACACTTAAAATCGTCTAAATATTTACATAATAGTAAGAATTTATTGATTTTAAAAGAGGAAATGGAACTTTACTTGAGGGTTAGTTTCCTTGTCATATTTGTTATTCAAATAAGCGTCCATGTAATCCAGTAAAGGAAAATCCATGTTTTTGTAGCGTAGACATCTTTCAGACACGTTGCAATGATCAGCCGCCATAATGAAAACAATACACGCAGTAGAGTCTGTGGTAGAGTACTAGAGTGGTCGATGACGACATCAATCTCGTTCCCCGAGCATGCCCGTTCGCAGGTTAAGGGTGGGCCCTTAACCTGCGAACGGGCATGCTCGGGGAACGAGATTGTGACGACATGAGATATTCTAATTGTCGCGGGTTTTTTCGCGGGTTGCGGGTTTTTCCACTGAGCTGTATAGGAACTGGAGGACCTGCATGAGGACCTGCTCCTATACTTCGTTCAGTCAACGAAGTGAAGCCAAAAACATTTTCAGGCAAAATGACGCCATTTCCGAAATCCTCATGGTAGTTATCACTGACAAGGCTCAATATTGAGCCCATGGCAGGTTTCACCCTTGGCTTTTGCAAAAACGATCCGCTCTACAGTTTCAGATTCCAGTTTCAGATTCAAATTCAGATTCATATTCAGATTTGAATCTGAAACGGGGTCAATTGTCGCGTATAAAATGTGGAATTGCTCTGTCTCTTTTCACGGAATAAACGTAATTCGTCAAGGACATCCATCTTCAGACAATTGTGCATTTGACAAAACTATATTTTAGTTTTTAGCTCATAATGTAAAGCCAGGAAAAATCGCAGAAACTACACGACCAACGCGTGATTTCTTACTGCGCCATGTTTGTCTTAAGCTGTCGGCAAAATTATTTTTCGCTGTGTATCGCAAAATACGCGTGTATTTCCCTAATTTCTGAAAGACATTCATTAGTTAACAAATATAAAACATTTTCCGTGTTGATATACAGTTATATCAACACGAGTGGAAATTGGGAAAACGAGAAATTGTGTGGAAACACGACGCCCGAAGGGCGGAGTGTTTTCACACAATTTCGAGTTTTCCCAACTTCCACGAGTGTTGATATAACTGTATATCAATACGGAAAAATGTTTTATATTTGTTTTATAATATAGCAATGTCAAAAGCCCGAAGAATAAGAACAATTTCCGTGTTACAAGCGGCGGAAAATTTCCCGTGTTGACATGGAGTTATATCAACACGGCTCTTAGCCAATCAGCGTTCAAAATTTACAAATGCTATATTATAATACACTATAGTAAATGGTATAAAGAAAGCTAGGTCTTAAAAACGTTACTTGTTTTGTCAGGAAAAATCGCAAATCATAGATCATGAGATACGGCTTTTGTAACCTGAAGCGAACGTCAACAACGCAGCTGAGAGAATAAACACTTCTCACGCGTCACAGGCTCACTTTGGAATATTCGTCTGCGAAAGACATTCATCTACAACTATCACAAAATGATACAACGCAGTTGTTATTTTCAAACAACTTGTTGTTTTGGCAGGAAAAATCGCAATACCCAACCGCTGTTGGAATCGAAAATCCGGGCGGGAATTAAGACTTTCATCACAGTTCATTTAGTCTCATATAAACGAAGTTTAGTTTGCCTTCGCAGTGAATCTTCACCAGTTGACTGTAAATTATGGTCAAGTTTAAAATACTCTAAAATTAGGCAAATATTTCTCGCGGAAAAAGGGCTTGGAATCGTTCTTTGGAAGAACGATAGGATATCAACCCCCCGGATTTTATTGTTTCAGATTCAAATTTCATAATAACAATCTCAGTGCGTATAATATAACAATCTTTTGCGATTTTTCCTGCGCATATGCGTTGCCGAATCGCAATAAGAACCAGACAGAACGAAGCGCACAATAATGTAGATGAATGTCCTTCTTTGCGGTATCTGCTGGTTTAATACAGTTGCTGTGGTTGAAGGATTTACGCAGACTAACGCTGTTTCAGCTCGAATCTGAAACTGAATCTGAATCTACATGAAATTTAAATCTTAACGAAAAATATCCGGGGGCGGCTGACATCCTATCGTCCTTCCATAACACGATTCCAAACCCTTTTCTGCGAAAAGTACAGGGCCGTTTTTGAGCATATCAACATTTAGTCATAACTCCTAGTCAGCTAGTGAACATTTGTTGTGAAGACAAATTATACTTGGTCAGTATATCAGTATAAACGAACTTTTGGGAAAGTATTAATGCCCGCCCGGATTTTTGAATTCAACACATGTTGTGTTTTGCGATTTTTCCTGCCCAAACAATAAGTTGTTCGACGATAAAAAATGCGTTATAGGATTCTGTGATAGTCGTAGATGAATGTCTTTTGCAAAAGAATCTTGCAAATTTAAAGCATGCCGCGTGAGAAACATTTCTTCGGTTCACTTTGCAGTTGACCTTTGCTTCAGGTTGTAAAATCTACAACTCGTCTGTTGTGTTTTTCGATTTTTCCTGAGCTACAGAAAAGTGTTTCAAACCCTTACACTTCTTCATATCATCGGATTTAATGCATTAAAAGATGTCCTCCTTGAAAAGGTTTGATAACGCGCCTTTATCTATTAAAAAATGAGGACTAATACAACAACAACTGTTTGGCAAGCCATGTCTGCATGTACAAGAGCAGTCTGAAATAACAATCTTTTGCGATTTTTCCTGCTGACATGGTTTGTTGATTCGCAATAAAAACCACACAGAATGAAGCGCACGGTAATGTAGATGAATGTCTTTCTTTGCAGTATATCTGCAGGTTTATACAGTTGCGGTGGTTGAAGGATTTACGCACACTAACGCTGTTTCAGCTCGAATCTGAAACTGAATCTGAATCTACATGAAATTTGAATCTTAAACATTAAAATCCGCGGGGGGTGTTTGAATTCCCGTCGTCCTTCCCTAACACGATTCCAACCCCTTTTCTGCGAAAAGTACAGGGCCGCTTTTGAACGTATCAACATTTAATCACGATTCCTAGTCAGCTAGTGAACATTTGTTGTGAAGACAAATTATACTTGGTCAGTATATCAGTCTAAACGAACTTTTGGGAAAGTATTAATGCCCGCCCGGATTTTTGAATTCAACACAGGTTGTGTTTTGCGAATTTTCCTGCCCAAACAACAAGTTGTTCGACGATAAAATATGCGTTATAGGATTCTATGATAGTCGTAGATGAATGTCTTTTGCAAAAGAATCTTGCAAATTTAAAGCATGCCGCGTGAGAAACATTTCTTCGGTTCACTTTGCAGTTGACCTTTGCTTCAGGTTGTAAAATCTACAACTCGTCTGTTGTGTTTTGCGATTTTTCCTGAGCTACACAAAAGTGTTTCAAACTCTTACACTTCTTCATATCATCGGATTTAATGCATTAAAAGATGTCCTCCTTGAAAAGGTTTGATAACGCGCCTTTATCTATTAAAAAATGAGGACTAATACAACAACAACTGTTTGACAAGCCATGTCTGCATGTACAAGAGCAGTCTAAAATAACAATCTTTTGCGATTTTTCCTGCGGACATGGTTTGCTGAATCGCAATAAAAACCACACAGAATGAAGCGCACAGTAATGTAGATGAATGTCTTTCTTTGCACTATATCTGCCGGTTTATACAGTTGCTGTGGTTGAAGGATTTACGCAGACTAACGCTGTTTCAGCTCGAATCTGAAACTGAATCTGAATCTACATGAAATTTGAATCTTAAACAAAACTATCCGGGGGGGCTGACATCCTATCGTTTTTTCATAAAACGATTCCAAGACCTTTTTTGCAAAAGGTATTGGGCTGCTTTTGACATAATTCAAACTTCAGCATAATTTACAGTCAACTGGCTAAGATTCAGTGTGAAGACAAACAAAACGTCGCTTATATCAGACTAAACGAACTGTGATGATAGTCTTAATGCCCACCCGGATTTTCGATTCCAACACTGGTTGTGCTTTGCGATTTTTCCTGCCGAAACAACAAGCTGTTTGAAAATAACAAGTGCGTTGTATCATTTTGTGATAGTTGTAGATGAATGTCTTTCGCAGACGAATATTCCAAACTAAGCGTGCGACGCGTGAGAAGTGTTTATTCTCTCAGCTGCGTTGTTGACGTTCGCTTCAGGTTACAAAAGCCGTATCTCATGATCTATGATTTGCGATTTTTCCTGAGAAAACAACTAACGTTTTTAAGACCTAGTTTGCTTTATACGATTTACTACAGTGTACTAATGAATGTCTTTCAGAAATTAGGGAACTACACGCGTATTTTACGATACAAAACGAAATATAAGTTTGTCGACAGGTCAAGACAAACATGGCGCAGTAAGAATTCACGCGCTGGCCGTGTAGTTTCTGCGATTTTTCCTGGCTTCACATTATGAGCTAAAAATCAAAGTATAGTTTTGTCAAATGCAAGTATAGTTTTGTCAAATAGTCTGATAATGGATGTCCTTGATGAATTACGTTTATTCCGTGAAAAGAGACTGACCAATTCCACATTTTGTACCCCCGTTTCATATTCAAATCTGAATCTGAATATGAATATGAATCTGAAACTTGAATCTGAAACTGTAGAGCGGATCGTCCATTGTTTTACAAGAGACTTGCGTTTTATTGGATTTTTATGAAACTAAATACATTCTGGTGACTTCAAATACAGCCAAATCGCGTACCTTTCCAGTGATTTTCATTTAATACAGTCAATACATGATCTACAAGCAAAACTTGTCTAGTTAACTTTCTTCAGAGCTACGAGTAATTATAATTGTCTTTCATTCACTTTTAATTGTGCAATGTTTCATGTGTAGTGCACGAGCTGTGTGCAATTAAGATTCGTGTACACGCACCAACGTGTTGCAAAAGCCCGACTATATATCAAAACAAAAAAGTCAAACGATGCGATTATAACATACTGTTGTATATTGTGGTTAAAAAGTGGCAACTGAACAGACTATCGCCAAAGAATGCGGCAACTTATAACTTTATAATATTATTATTCCCATTTATACTGTATAAACGTGCAAACGAATAGTTGAACTATTTCAATCTGTTTAGGATATAGTCGGGACGTGGATGTGCTTTTTTAACAATTTCTTTATTTAGTTCTTTGTACGTTTGCATGGCGATAAAGCATATAATAGTTTTGTTTGTGGAAACACCACGTAAATTTATTACTGCAAAGCTTTCGATCCGTAAGCCCGGATCTTCATCATGCAGTGCTAATAATAATTTTTATGTGACTTGTTCAGTAAAGGTATACCATTCCAGCGAAAACAAATTGTTTCGAGCTATTTGCACAACATAAGGACAACGTGAATGAATCTCAGAAACCTGCTGGTGTGTACCATGAATTGAACCACAGAAATTCCTTGTGAATTGAACATGAATTGAATATGAATTGAACCACAGAAATTCCTTGTGAATGTGGTCTAGTTTACATTGGTGAGCCGAGCAAGATAAATCTCCTGTGGCTAAACACACTGAACTTACGACCATCGTATAAAATGGGACGAAGCAACCATAGCAAGCACATGCCATACACTGGGTAATATTAGAAGATGGGCTATAATTGCAATGCTGTCAAATGTGACTGCATTTCAAACAAATCACATATATAAAAGTATACAATCATGTCAACTTAGCAAATATTTAACACGAAATACAACATACATATGTATATCACAATTTGAGATATAAAAAAAAACTGTTTAAATGCCTTATATGTAGATTGTTGTAAGCTTTCTGATGATGCAAGTCATTATTGCTGTGATTGCATGAATATAAAATTTTACATTTTCTTGCTGTAATACAATTTGATAGAGGATAATCACTGATCACTCATTTTCTCGGTGTTTGGCAAGTTTTTTGCTTGTGAACTTTTTGTGGTAATTGAGCGTCTATGGTACTATGAATTGAACCACAGAAAATCTATCCCCAGGGGGTTGCCACGAAATTGCTTTTCTAAGCACTTTTTCGCACAACGGCCCACGGCCTATATTCTAAGCATGTTAATTGGTTGAAACTCTGGAACTTCCACTTATCACAAGTTATATTCAGCAGCAGAACATTCCACGAGTTCTCTCTCCTCAGGCGCAGTAGCCTGCGTGGCAGGTTCTCTGGGTTTGGGGGAGGCGATGAAAAATGGGAGACTGAATCATCGCCTCCCCCAAACCCAGAGAGCCTGCTACGCAGGCTACAGGCGCGCAGAGGCTTTTAAAGAATATGAAATTCGAAGGAATTGAAATAGCGCAATTTCAAATACCTTCTAGCTTTCAAATATCTTCTTCAATTTCAATCCCTTCGAATTTCATATTCTTTAAAAGCCTCTGCGGAGGAGAGCCACAAGTTCAAATTACAGATTTACGCAGCAAATAAAAAATATATAGATGTCTCGCTGACAATTTCTGGCTACATTAATCGATCGCCGCGTGCGATTGAAGCCGATATACTGGTAAATACATCAATGGCATAAATCTGACTTGGCAACATTCCAGTAACCAAAAACGTAAAATTAAATAATACAAACGACTTTATATCTCGATCTTCGTGCTTTTCGCATCTGTATTCAATACTTAGAGTATAGCCGCCATCTTCAATTCTCAAGCGCATTAATTTTATTGTAATAATTTACTCTAGATCCAGAACCATTTTACTCTTTTTTTGGGAGTTGAAACGACCCCTGGAGTAAAATTAAGGAGTAAAAATTACTACATAATTTCTACTCCTAAAAGCGAGTTTAATGTACTCCTCCAGTGGAGTTAAATTGACTCCCGATGGAGTAAATTGTAGAATGCGCGCCGAAGTGGAGTAGTTTTAACTCTATTTTGGGAATAGATTTTCAACTCCACAATTTTTGCTCTCCCGAGTGGAGTAGTTTTAACTCCTATGGTGGAGTTAAAATAACTCCTTGAAATTAACAGTGTGGTGTGTACCACATTCCTTGCATGTGAATGTGGTCTAGTTTACATTGGTGAAACTGGTCGAAATCTCTCAGTATATAGCTACGTCTTAAGGAACATAAGACGAATTGCGAGAAAGCCGAGCAAGATAAATCTCCTGTGGCTAAACCATGGAAATAATAGATAATAATAGATAATAAAGGGTTATTAACCGAGAGCGAGGTCTGTACAGGAAAGTATTTGCCTGAGGTTTTCGTACAGACCGAGCGACGAAGGAGCAAGGTCTGTGCGGATAAACCGAAGGCAAATACTTTCCCGTACAGACCAAGCAAAACGAGGTTAATTAATAAACCATTTATTATATGGCTCCTTAAACACATTTTCTGATTTTCATATATTTGTTTGAGCGCTATAAAGGTATTTTTGAGCTATGTTTTATTTGCTAGTTTTCTTCCTTTGGATTTGGATTCGTCACCGAATATTGTTAACACGGAAAAGCATGTTTAACAATCGCTTTAGAACTACTTTTTCGGTAACCCCCACCCCCAGAAAAATGTTTATAAACCCAGTTTATATGATATTTGTTTAGAATATGGTATTAAAAACGTTAAATTCATCTTTATTTTATTTTTTGAAACAAGTAAACAAATTAAAAAATTTTCCCGCCAAAACTTACGGTTGTCAGTAAGAGTTCAAACCGCTTGTTTTCTTAGCTTTTTCGATGAAATTTGTGTTGGTACAAGTACTTATTAATATTTCCAAGACTTCTTATTCTTAAAAATGATCATAACGACCCAGCCTAGACCCATGCTTTCTCTCTATTCGCTGCTTTGATATATTTAAATAAGTCTTAAAAGTTTTATGCTTGGTTGTGCTGTGCGGAACGCTTCAGCGAGAGAGCCTAGCAGATTTCGGTAAAATGGTCCCTGATTTCAAAAAAGTGGTCCCTGGCCTGGTTACCAAGAACACCGCATTTGTAAATAGAAAATGTTATGGAAATTTCCTTTGCGTTTATAGTTAAGTCATTAGTTTTGCTCTAATGCTGTCGGAACAATGAAATAGGCTACGTAATTTTGCTACCATACGGTCAGAATGGAATAACGGGCTAAATATGACTGGTGTTTACTAAAATATAAAGCCATATTAAATGCTATCTAGAAGCTTGAAAATTATGCAGAGTCTCCGACTAAAAATGTTTTGACAACACAGTCATGACAGGCAAATATTTCCAATCTCCTGAGCTACTTAAACCTGTCAAGTAGGAAGCGTAGTTGTGTATACCAGTGTGGTCTAGTGTTGATCACAACTTGCGAGTATATAAATAGCATCAACGATTATACGACCATTGCTCAGACTCAGTATCGTAAATTTGTATATAATTTTTTTTTAATTGAGCACATTTTTAATACAGTTAGAATTTGGTTATGTAGACATCGAACATGATCAACGAACATTGTCGTATTTACAAGGTTATTTGTATATATAAATTTTCCGCCATATTAAAAATACTGAAATCTGCTAGGCGTTCTGAAGCACTTTTAGCGGTGACGTCACACCTAGGTCCCAGTCTCGTTCTATATCCACGTTTTTTCTCACGCTTACTTCAGAACGACTGGGACTAGGCTGATAACGACCTTATAAACGTGTAAAAACGTTTCAAATTCGAGCCTGTCAAATTTACATACGGGAAACCGGTCCGGATACGGGAAATGCGGACCACGGTCCGGATACGCATTTTACGGACCGCACGTCGACCAATCAGAATCCAGGATTCTGCAAAGCCATATAATAATAATAGATATCTATTATTTCTATGGGCTAAACACACTTGAACTTACGACCATCGTATAAAATGGGACGAAGTAACCATTTTGGCGATTGATAAGTTCTCTCGCAAAATGAGAGAGTCAATTGAAATTGAGAGGCACAATACTATAGATCAGGAGGGAAAGTCACTAGATAGTTTACGTGGCGTGCTCTCTTTAATGTGCGAAATTAATTTCTCTTGTCTTGGATGCGCGCGCGTTAATTAGAATCACTTCTCTACGTTTGAAATGACGTGGTTGATGTGCCGTTTAATTAAATTTCAGATGACGCGAACCAACAGATCACGATACTTTTGTATATAAAAAAGGGCGCGTAAAAAAATGAACAAGTCACATATTAGCACTGATGAAGATCCGGGCTTACCGATCGAAAGCTTTGCAGTAATAAATTTACGTGGTGTTTCCACAAACAAAACTATTATATAATTTTATTATTTGCTAAACTCCGGATATCCTTGCGCCATTCATCTCCGCACCAAAACAAAATGTCTTTCCGTATTTTCCCTGGATATTATTTTAAAACTATTTCTAATTATTTAACAAGACGCTTCATCGAGCGTTCAGTTGTACATAATACAACGAAAATTTAAAACAATTTGTGTTACAGCTCCCGTATTAGTTGTAAAGAAAACAGTATTTACTAGTAATTTTATTCACTAGAAATAGTTCTAAAGAATATCTATGCACACTGTCGCTGTTAAACAAATCTTTGTAGCTTTCTTTACGTTTGGTGGAACCGTAACTCCATTTAGTAAAATATTTGCTCGTCTGTATTCGGAACAAAATCGGAAGCCATTTTGTTTTTGTCCGGAGATGAATAGTGCAAAGATATCCTGAGCAACCAATCAAATTGCGCGAAAAGAGCTATCCACCTCTCGAGCATATGATAATAGTGCTACAGGATATTGACCTCAACGCCTCCCGTCTCGGTGAATATTTTGTACTACTGTTCACCTCTACTTCGGCGAATAATTGTTAAATACGTTATAATTAAGAATTGAAGAAAACTCGATTCTTTCAAAAAACGCAAATTTGCTATAAAATTCTATAAGATTATATATGCATGTATGTCTGTTAAATATGTTGTAATCTATATAAAGTATATTTTGGAACAATTTGCTGATTTTAATGGTTTGAAAGCAAAGAATACTTTATCACGATGTATTATTTTATAACATTTTGTATCACACGTTAAAGGATACAATATTGCGATATGGAAAAACAATGAGGGGAATAACATATATACCTCATATAAAACCATATATGGAAATCTGCGACGATTATATTTCAATGTGAAATGAGTGTAAAAAATTCAATATATTTATGTCCAGTATGATCGCAATATTCAATTTTTTTGTATTTTTATCGCTTTTGTAGATCTTCGCACAGAAAGATATTAAATGGCCTAGATTTTGTTCCACGATGGCAGTGAAATCATTTTCCAAAGAACAATTGAATTTCTTTAAGTTTTCTACGCTTGTTCTTGATGAGTTTCCCAAGGTGTTGCGTCAAATTTTTATCACCATGTGGGATAGCAAGGTTACTGTAAGACCAGGATTCATTCCATGGGATGACAGTATCACGGTACGGAACATGCTTCTTAAATCTGAAGGTGGTAAAACAGATATACCAACTACGAAATCAATTGAGGAGTGGGACTGTACAGCTTTGTTTAAAGCAACAATCTATGCCAAAACATTTGGTGTTCCAAGCAGCAAGGGATCAACTTTGAATGATTTATATTTAAAGAAAGTTAAACCACCTTCTGTTTCTTTTCATTCATCAGTTCAAAGTTCAACAGGAAATCAAGACGAGACCTACGCCTTGGCAATTGACCAACTGCGATTATTGAGAAACACTCTTTGCCATTCGCCAAAACCTGAAATAATTAAAACTGATTTTGATAACTATGTACAATTGGTAACCAACGCTTTAGTAGCAGTTAATGTTGATACCGTTTTTGTTGATACTATTGGTCAAATGAACGAGGATGATTTCCCTACAGGGAAAGTTCAAGAATTACATGAATGTCTTTTGAATGAGTTACGAGCCAACAGTGTGTTTCATGAGAATATGGAGTAGAAGTTGTCTTCTATTGATGAACGAACCGAAAAAATAGAGAATTCGGAGGAGAATATGCAGCAGAAATTGTCCTCTATTGCTGAACGAACAGAAAAAATAGAGAATGTGGAGGAGAATATGCAGCAGAAGTTCTCCTCTATTGATGAACGAACAGAGAATGTGGAGGAGAAATTGGTCTTTATTGATGAACGAACAGATAAAATTCATACAATGATGAAAAATAGCAGTTTTGTAGGGAAGAGAAATCTACCAGGTAACCTTATTCAGACAACGTTTGTCTGCTAATTAATAAAAGGTTGTCATTAATATTAGGGGCCATTCACAAAGGATGTCCGGCCAAATGATGGATTTTCAGACCCCCCACCCACCCTTGTCCGGCATTGTCCGAATTGGTGACCCCTCCTCCCCCCCCGGACATCCGCCATGCCTCGCAAAAACTCACGCGACCTTGTATATGTCAAGAGTAAAAACTTTTTTTACTTTTAGAACTTTTTTATAACTATAAATGTAAACATATAAATTACCAATTAAACCAAAATCTAGTATTAACCGCATAGTCAAAATGCCAATTTCACAATGGAAAGGAGAGTTCAAAATAGAGGAAAAAGAAATTTGTTTTTGAATTTTTTTAAAATGTCGGACATCCGGATTGCTAAAAACTCCCCTCCCCCCATGTCCGAGTTTGTCCTGATCCCCCCCCCCCTCGGCTCGGACATCCTTTGTGAATGGTCCCTTAGCAGGAACCTCGTATTTAGCGCGGGAAAATTGCTTTAATTAAAATCATATCATTAAACCTAGAAACATTACCCAAGCCATATGTTCCAAGCCCTGTTCCATTCTTTACTGGTAGAGAAGATGAAATTGAAGAAATTACAAACCTTATAACTGGCCAATCAACACGACTGTTAAACATCTGGGGATCTCCTGGATTTGGTAAAACATCAACCGCTATTGAAGTTGCACGCCATCTTTTGTCTCTCAGCTGCCCTGTGTATTTTTTTAAATTGCAGGGTATTGGAACAGTAGATGGATTTTTATCTAAAATTTTAAGTATTTTTAAGAGTAATTTAGCAGATCTTAGTCTAAAACCTATAGATAAGATAGTAAGTATTTTTAGAGAAATTTCGTCTCGGATTTTTCTTATATTTGATAACCTTGATGATCTTCTGTTGGCTGAAAGCAGTAATCTTACATGTTTATTTGAAGAATTGTTGGATAGTAATGTTAACATCAATGTAGTTTTTACAACGAGGGAGTTTTTAGAAAATATGCGCGACCAAATAAGGGGTTTTCAAGACATCAGAATTCGACCCCTTCATCCAATTTCGTCTGTTCAATTTGTCCGTCAAATTCTTCCTTCATTTTCTGAAAGCGTTGTTGCAAATGTGGCTAGAATTTCTTCCCATGTTCCTCTGGCTATGAGACTCGTTGCTTCGTTAGTTGAGTACAACACGGATGATATGGCAAATAAGATACTTGATGAATTAAGTCTTTCCGGAAATATTTTAGAGATAGACAGGTCATACGAGCAAAACATGAAAAGGTTATTCGAGACTCCTTTTGAGCAGCTGACTTTAAGTGACAAACACGCGCTGATTTCTTTAACCGTGTTTTCATCCGGTAGAATAAGTAAAGATGCTGCAGTTGATGTTATTTCTGATGAAATTGGACTTGTGAAAGCTCTAGGGATCCTTAAAACACTTGTGAAGAAATCACTAATTGATGAAAATCCCTGTGGAGAATATTACTCTATTCACCCTCTCATTCATTCTTTTGTTGTAGATAAAGCAGAAGAAAGAGATTTTGAGAATGTCTTCGAATCCTCTAGAATTCGCTATTGTAGGTATTACTTTCTTTTTTTTGAAAGGATTAATGACGATTTTCTTTCTGGGAAGTCGGTGGACACTCCCCAACTGCAAGACACAATGGAGCATCTGCCGATTGCCATTCATTATTTTATGACAAGCACATGTAGTTCGGAAAGTTCCGAAGATCTTTTTCGCATCTTATCTAAGGCCGAAATATTTCTTTTTCTTGTTGGTTTACCCTCCGGTGAATCGCTAGATATTTCCGAATTGTATGATTTTGCTATAGAAAAATGCAGCACACAGCAAAACAATTACGCTTACTCAAAGTTGCACGTCAGCAAATATTTTGAAAGTATTGCATGTGCACTGTTACCTTCGAAGTTTGAGTATTTAGAATTACCTAGGCCTGAACATATACGTGCAGACGTCATGTTGTTATTGGATGGTAGTGCAGCAAAATTAGGCTGTTATGAAGGAATTTCACTTATTTATAAAGGACATATAAAGTCAGGTATTGAATGTATTGAAAAACATGTCGATGGTTTACAAAATTGCGCTGATCAACAACTTATAAAATGCTTATGCCTGCAGCTTCTTGCTCTGTTTTATACCGATTTAAAAGAGTGCAGCAAATCGAGCCAGTTCAGTAGAGAGGCCATCGAGGTTTGTAAAGAAATTGGTAACTACAATCTCTTTTTAATTGGTGAGTGTGAGGGAACTTTATATATGACGCAAAAGGAATATAAAGGCGAGCAATTAATATTATTTGTCTATCTATTATATATGTGGTCAAAAGATATTTTAAATGACGAGACACAACTCTACTTTTCAAACTTTGTTCATCAGTTAGAACAGCAGCTAGAAAATAAGGCATTCAATGCTTTACAATATTTATTTAAGATTTTCATATACGGTGATTCTTTTTTAGCCTTGGGTGTTGGTGTAGGACAAGAAAGTCTTTTCCAAGAAAAGATTACGTTTCTAAAAAAGTCAGTGATGTCTGATGATTATTTTTCTTTGACAGACAGAACAGCTCCGATCATGTCGGAGATGTCTTCGACTTTGTCTCCTCCGCGATTGATTAATTGCTACACTTTTCAAATGATCATGGACGATAGAGAAAATAAAAAAGGTCCTAGTGTTATCGACACATGCCGTAACGTGCTTGATCTTTCACTTAAGCAATATGGTGAAAAACATCTGAATACGGCGTTCTGTTACCTTAGAATTGGCTTGGCTGAGAATAAGGCTGAGAATTATATTTCTGCCTGTAATGCATTTGATCAGGCTCTTGAAATTATGACTGTCATTTATGATGAGAGCAGCAGCAGTGATCATGTTTTAGCCGATGTTTATATCGGCAAAGGAGAGGCGTGTCAATGCTTGAACAAATTCGAATCCGTTGTATTTTTTGAAGAAGCTCTTAGAATAAAAAGGAAATTGTGCGATGAAGGTACTGAAGAAATCGCCCGTATCTTAGTTTTGCTTGGGCGTTCGCAACAGTGTTTCGATGATTTCTCCTCTAGTCTTGCAACATTTGAACAGGCTCTGCAAATATGGAAGAAATTGTACGCTGAGAAGCCAAGCTCCAGTGGGTATATGTATGTAGTTGAATGTTACTGTAGTATTGGAAAGGTGCAAAACGCTCTTGGCAACAACACTGAAAGTATAAAATCTTTCAAAACTGTACTTGAAGTTAGCTCGGTTTGCGACCAAGATCGTTCAATTGTACAAAGTTTTATAAGTTTTATTAGTTTGGATCTTTTAGATTTGAGGGTAGATGAGAACATGTATATGGAATTGTTGGAAAGTAATTTACGGGTGCTCAAGGAAAATTGTAGGCCGCTCTTGCCTACATTGTATTTCAGATTAGGTTCAAAACAAGTTGAGTCAGGGAAGTATAAAGCTGGTCTAGCGTTCTTTCTAGAAGCTCTTGACTTTGAGTTAGAGATCATACTGAGAAGCGATTTTGCCAATCGAGAGTTGACGGTTTCATGCTACATTGCCATGGTTGTAACTTTAGCTAATATTGGAAAGTTTAAATTGGCGAGTAAGGCAGTTGAGAGAGCAACACAAGTAGCAGAATCACTTCCTGAAGGTACACAACATCTTTGGATATTTCGATGTTATACGTGGAAGGGTCGCATTCAAAACGAAATGCGAGAATATATTACAGCAATTGAGTCCCTTAAACACGCACTTCTGCAGTTTCCAAAAATTTGTCATGAATCCTGTGATAAATTTGAAGAATTTGAGTGTCATAGGGCGATAGCAGCAGCTCATGTCTTTGTTGGATCGTATAAAGATGCGCTTACGTCTTTGTATGACGCATTGTCTGTCACTAAATGTCGTTTTCCTGAGGGAAGCGTAGCTGAAGCTGATGTATATGTCGCTGTGGCCAAAGTCGCACAAGAAATGAAAAACAAAACTTTAGAAGTGAGTAATTTGCGTTTGGCGTATAAGATGTGTTCAAAAGTTCTGGGAGAAACTCACTCCCAAACAAAAGTAATCTACATTGCATACGCCAGAGCTCTTATATGTCTACGTTAATTGCGATGTATAATCGTCATACCCGAAGTAAAATCATCATACCAGAAGTAAAATCGTAAACATCAATGTTCAGACCAGTCAACGTATTGTGAGACACAGCCGGCTGTTCACTTAAATTATGTTCAATGCTGCATTTCGTTATTGGTAGAGGTTTGAAACATTTGTGTACGGTTCTTTGGATGTGGTAGTTCACCACTTCAGAGAGTTTTCTTAAGAACTATATTTCCTGCGGAAATGAGCCTCAATGTCTTCAATGACAAGACTTAGCATCACCTAAAAGTCTGAAAATTTTGTAGATTTATTACAAATAATGTGAGCCATCGTATGGCCTACGGGAGCTGCTTTTTATTATTCGTTATTTTATTATAACGTGGACAACAATGTAGTTCATATTTGTGGTGTTACTCTGAGTGTATATCCACACCGGGCGAGCTTGAAAAATATGCCCGGCCACGGTGGGATTCGAACCTACGACCTTTGGAATACTAGCCCAATGCTCTTCCAACTGAGCTACGCGGTCAGGACGGTTCGAGTAAGTGATATTTCGGAACAGAATCTAGTTCCTTCGATACCAATGTATTCTATTAATATGAATCTTTTTTTTTTTCTGTGTTGGTGTAGTGTACTCAGGTGAATATGATATTTGTGGTGTTACTCTGAGTGTATATCCACACCGGGCGAGCTTGAAAAATATGCCCGGCCACGGTGGGATTCGAACCTACGACCTTTGGAATAC